CATAAATATGCTTCCTGTGTTTCTAATTACTTTCATTGGCCATATCCCTAGAACTGGGAACATTGTGTCACAGCATAGAGTCCTTTTTTGAAATATATTTTTGGCTATATCAATATATTAATATTTCCAAATATAAAATTGATGAAAAGTAAAAAAAATGTGAAATGTGAGTATGAGAAGAGTGAAGGGGAACAGTAAGCTAAATCAAAATATGGTATATAAACTGTAGATAGAAATGGTTTACCAGAATAGACATTTTTTGAAGAGCTGTTAAATTTTTAATGTGTTATAAATGAAATTGTAAAGTATTGATTGAATTTTTGTCTTCATAGCTCACTCACAATAGAATGCAATCTTATCTGTTTTGTCTTACTTGTATATGGAACTTATGAAAGACAAGTAGATGGGGCACAGACACCATGTTTTTGTACTATGAATGATCTGAAGCTGAGCCTATGTCATTTACTTTTTTATAGCCCTATCTCAACTGATAACTGTCCCAAAATCTTCACTAACATCCAACTTCGAGCATCCAAAAGTAAAGGTCTTGATTTCCTAATATTCGTTGCAGAGAGATGATAATAAGTGTCTGTATGTTTGGTACTTCAATAAGAACAAAGAACTTTTACATATATTAGTTCGCGTGATCTTCACAAAAATCCTGCAAGACAAGAAAGTATTTCTTTTCATTTTTATAAAGAAAGAAATCAGCACTAAGTATGTGGTAAGACTGAGACTCAAAAGGAAATGGTTGAACAAAATAATCAGCCAAAAAGTAGACAGATATAGAATACTCCATCGAACAACAGGAAAATTAATGTTTTTCAAGTTCTCGTGGAATATTCATTGAAAATGAGAACTGATCCATAAAATAAATCTTGAGAAATTTGAAGTAATTGAAATCATGCAGGGTATATTCTCTGGTGATAAGTGAATGAAACTAAAATTCAGTAAGACAAAAGTCAAAAATATCTTTAAACACTTGGAAATTTTTTTTCTTTTTATTTGCAAAACTAAGTTTCTTATATGATAAACACTTGGAAATTAAACAATACATTTCTAAGTAGGTCAAAGAGGAAGTCTCAAATGATTAAATATATAAAGCTGAGTGGAGTGAATACATAAGATATGTAAGATACAAATAAAACAGGGCAGAGAGGAAAATATATGGCATTAAACATTTACCCTTGAAAATAGGAAAACTCTCAATTTAATACTCTATGTTCTCACTTCGAAAAACTAGAAGAGAAAATAAACCTACAGCAAACAGAAGGAAGGAAATAATACAGATAAGAGGATATATAAATTCCATTATTTATCATCTATTTATATAGCATTTTTTAAATGGTTGAAAACAATAGACGAAGAAATTCAGTGAAACAGAGTGCTGATCTTTAAGAAAATCAATAATATTGATAAAATTGGTAAAGCAAGATTGGCAAAAATAAAAAAGGCACAGATCTCCAGTAACAGAAATTAAACAAGGGATGTCACCATAGACTCTAATAAAAGATAATAACAGAATAATACAAACAACTTTATGTTCATAAATATGACAACTTAAAGAAATGAATTTTTTAAAAACCACAGATTGCTAAAACTCACTCAAGATGAAATAGACAAGCAGAACAGTTCTACAACCATTAAAGACATTGGATTTGCAATTTAAAAATTCCTACAAAAACAATTATCCAAGATCAAATGGTTTTCATAAGCACTTCTGCCAATATTTATAGAATTTCAATGAATTTTATACAATGTCTTCCATAAATTAGAAGAGAAAGGAATACTTCCTTCCTAACTTGTTTTATTAGACTAGTATTATCCTGATACAAAACCAGATAAAAACAGTTAAAAAAATCCTATAGACTAATGTATCTCATGAGCATAGATACAAAAATCATCAAAATATATAGCTAATTGAATTCAGCAAAGAATAAAAGTAATTATACAACATGACTAAATGGGATTTATTCTAAGTATGCAAGGATTATTCAACATTTGAAAATAAATCAGCATAATCTATCAACACAATTAGGAGGAAGAAATCTTATTCTTATAAATTGATGCAGAAAAACATTACAAAATTTAACACACATTCATATAGAAAATCTCTATAAATCAGGAATAGATGGGAATTCCCTTAGGATAATAAATAGCATCTACAGAAACCCTACAGCTGACGTCATATTTAATGGCGAAAGATTGGATGCTTTCTCAGTGAGATTGGGAACAAGAAAAGAATGTCTACTCTCACTCCTCTTATTCCACATAACACTGGAAGTGCTAGTCAAGGTAATGAGGTAAGAAAAAGAAATAAAATGCATACAAATTGTAACAGGAGAAATAAAGAAATTTTATGTGCAGATGACATGATTGCCTTTGTAGAAAATTCCAAGGTATCTACAAAATAATTTCTAGATATAATAAGTGAATTCAGCAAATTGGCAGAATAAAATTTCAATGTTATGTTGAAAATAACTTAAAAAGTTATATTCTGCATGATTCCATTTACATAACATTTTTCAAATGAAAAATTATAGACATGGAGACGATATAGTGAAGGTCAGGGACTAATAGGGTTGGGGAATGGGGTAGAGGGGGTGGCAATGGCTATAAAAGGGTAGCAAGAAGGATGTTTGTAATAGAATTTTTCCTCATCTTTACTGTGGTGGTGGTTATACAAATCTAAAAATATGATAAAATTGCATAGAACTAAATATTAATATACACACACAAAAATGAGTGCATGTAACACTGGTGAAATCTTAGGTTGATGGATTGGACCAATGTCAATTCCCTGGCAAGGTATCATTGGCTGATGAACATAACTGGTTACTCTATTATTTCTTACACTTGCATGTGAATACAAAATTGCATCAAATAGAAAGTTAAAAAAGATAAAGGACATGGTTTTGTCAACTATTACAGAGCCGCTGAGGGATGGAGGAAGACAGAGAACCCATGCTTTGTCACTCTTACCCTGAGACTCTTTTCCCTTCTCAATGGCGAGGGCTCAAGGTAAATGGTGATATTAATTGAAAAAAAAGTTAGTACTAATTATTTGCCTGAACTAATTTTATTTTTATGAATTCCTGTAATTAACTGAAAAGATAAAATTATAAA